TTGTAGGGCAGCCACACCGCCTCGCCCTGCGCGCTGCTCGGCCCTAGGCCCCCTCGGACCAGCTCTGAATCTGGGCAGAGGACAGGACGGACGCGCTGGGGCTGCGGGTGGGAGCGTGAGCCCTCTGTGGGGAGGGGGCTAAAGAGGAAGCCCAGGAACAAGGAGGGTCAGGAGTTAGTCAGAGGGCTTGTGGGACCCCTCGCCTCTGAATCCTTGGCAGGGTGGGGTGGGCGTGGCGGATCTGGTATGGAGGCTGCCCAGGGGCCCCTGAGCACAGACGCTCCAGACTGCATCCTATACTAAGTGTGTGGACGCCAGGCAGTGGCGTGAGACACAGAGGCCGCCTGGAAGACTCTGGGCGTTGCGCAGCCCTTTTCTACCCTGGGGAAAGGTGGCCTGAGACAGATATGTCTGAAGTTCCGGCTCTGCAGGGACAGGGTGGGGGTGGGGAGTGTGTCAGAGGGACTTAAGGGAGTGGGTGTGGACGTGTGCAAGGAAGTTTGAGGGCGTAGGTGTGAGTGTGCAAGGAGTAGGACAGGGCAAGGTATATGCAGGTGTGTACTGTGCGAGAATGTGCAGGTGAGAGCATGTAAGACTGAGCAGCTGGGCAGGTGAGCATGTGTGAGTGGGGGAGCATATGAGGGAGTGTGTGTCAGCAAGTATAAGTGGAGGGGTGGCAGTGGCACAGGTGGTCCCCTCCCCAGGACACTCCAGGAAGGCCCTCCCTGAGGCACTCACCTGGAGGAGATGGAATGGGCCAGAGTGGGTTCAGGAGAGGAAGGCCCAGTAGATTTTGGAATGGCTGGGGAAGGCTTGGCCCAAGCCACATTCCAGCCAGCTTGGTGACCAGTAACCTGCCCCTGATGTAACCAGGATGCAACTAGGATGTCCCCAGGGAACTGGAGCTGCCCACTTCATACCAGATACTGGAATTACCCCATCTACATAGGCCTCCTCTTCACCCCAACACCCAAGACACCTGTCTAGAAGCTCTGGTCCCCAGTCCTGCCACCTGTCGCGACACAGCAAGTGTGCTGTCATACAAACTGAACCTCTTCCCAGAGGACTTTATGAGAAGGAAAGAGTCAGAACTTCAGGGCTGGAACCAGTGACCTGAGTCCCTCTTATGGGGCCAGCTCAAGAATCTAATAAAAATGTAAAGCATCAGAAACTTGTATGTGTTTGAGCCCAACCAGGGATGCAAAACAAACAAAATCTTACGTGTGCACACAAGGCTTACATGTTGATCAGGGTCTGGTCTGGTCTCTGTCGCTGTGTGTGTCTCTATCTCTCGGTCTGTCTTTTCTCTCATTGTCACTAACAGTATCTCTCGCCCCTCCCCTTCTCCCCTCTCTCTCTCTTTGTGTGTGTGTCTAACTCTGTCTGTCTGTTGATCTCACTGTCACTATCTCTTTCTCTGTGTCTGCCTGTCTGTCTCTCTCTCGCTGCATATCCCTTTCTGTCACTAGTGGACTGTCTGTCCCCTCTCACTGCCTCTATTTTCACTCATTCTCTCTCACACACATACATATACACACTTCTGGAAGGACAGGGTCCTCACCTTCAGGGTCAGGGCTTCTGAAAGGGTGTGGACAGGTCCAATCCAGCTTCAGGCAGATGGTGCCCCTGAGGAGGTGTGGGCAGGTCCAGTCCAGCTTCAGGCAGGTGGTGCCAGGGGTATGAATGAGGCTGGGGCAAAGCTTCCCAGCCGGAGGGTCCAGCTCACTGTACACCACCGACTGGCTAACAGATTGATTCCTGTGGCCCAACTCAGCAACACCTTACACTGCCCAGAAGACTGTCGGCTGGGCTGGGGTACGTGAGATGGGGTGTCATGGGGTTCGGGGAGCTGGGAGTATTGACTGACATTTCTTCCCTGGCCCAGCCTCATGCCTTCATGCTTTGAGCAGGGCACCATGCTGCTCCTGGCCCTGTTCTGCGAACTGGCCTGTGTTCTGACTGCAGGGTGAGCACCCCACTTGGGCTTTCCTCCTGGCCAGGCCTGGCTGCTCTTCTATTGGGTCTTCCTTGGTGGGGTCTGAGGTGTGGGAGGGGTGACAGCCAGCTCTATTCCACAGGAAGTGGTGTGAGCGCACAGAGACCGTGTGGGTGGAAGAGTTAGTGTCAGCCCCCCTGGAGGATCTGGTCCCCTGCACCAGCCTCTACCACCACCTCCGGCTGGGCTGGCGGCTGGGCCCAACCCTAAGAAGACAGGGCTCCCTCACCTCTGACCCCAGGCTCTGTCCCATCTACTGGTGAGTGGGGTGCAGACCTTGGACTGTCAGGGGAAGGAGAGGAGCGAGCCAGCACCTGAAGGTCTGAGGGCACCTGATGTGGTTCAGGAGTGGGAAATGGTGCTCCCTGGGTCGCCAGGGGCTGCCAGGATACAGAGTTGGAACCCAAGCGTATGCATGCAGACTTGTGGGTGTCGGGCCACACTTTTGACTGGAGGAACAGAGGAGTGACCACACAGCATGCACTCCCACAAAGCCTCTGCGCTGACAGTCTTCCCTCTCCATCTGCCTGCTCCATGGCCCAGGCCTCTGGAAACCCGTCCAGTCGCCCAGACCCGTACTGTGAGAACTTGCTGCCCAGGCTGGGGGGGACCCAACTGTTCACTGGGTAAGTCTGGCCTGGGGTGCTAGGTGCGATCTGGCTTGACCTGGGGTGCTTAGTGGTAGGATATTGGGTGGGGTCTATCTTGACCTGGGGTGCTGCATGGGAGGATACTAGATGGGGGCTGTCAGCTGGGGTACTAGACAGGGTCTGCTGTGACCTAGGGTGCTGAGTGAGAGTCTGTCTGATCTGGGGTGCCAGGTAGAATTTATCCTGACCTAGGGGCTGGACTAGGTTTATTCCAACCCTGGGGTGGTGGGTGGAGTGTTTTTCTTAATTTGGATGTTATGTAGAGGGTCTGCCCTGACCCAGGCATTGGGTAGAGGTTTGTCCTGACCTGGGTGCTGGGTGGGGGTCTATCCTTTCCTGGGTGCTGGGTGGGGGTTTGCCCTGACCTGAGTGCTGGGTAGGGGTCTATCCTGACCTGACTGTTAGGTGGGGGTTTGCCCTGACCTGGGTGCTGGGTGGGGGTCTGCCCTGACCTAGGTGCTGGGTGGGGGTCTATCCTTTCCTGGGTGCTGGGTGGGGGTCTGCCCTGACCTAGGTGCTGGGTGGGGGTCTGTCCTGTCCTGGGTGCTGGGTGGGGGTTTGCCCTGATCTGGGTACTGGGTAGGGGTCTATCTGATCTGGCATGCTGAGTGGGTGTGCCCTGAGCTGAAGTTTTCTAGAGGCCTCACAGCTGAGTCACAGCCTCCTAATCTGCAGCCTCCAATCCTGGGGCCCTGCATTGCTTCTGAGCAATGCTGGCCTTAGGCAGGTGTGGTCTAGGTACCAGCTGTGAGCCTGAATGAGTGCTGTGCCAAAGGCTGGGGGCACAGCTGGTGGGATGGCAGCTCCCAGGCCTGCAGCCTCTGCCCTAGCCAGCCCTCCCTAGATGTGTGTAGACCCTTGGGACAAGTGCTTTGTCCCTGCCCATGGAGGGCCTGCAGCCTCTCAGGTATCCTCACAAAAAGTGATCTGGTACCCACCCACAGTGGGATGCTTACCATGGTGCCCCCTCCTCAGGAAGCACCCCTACCTTGGCCACCCTGCAGCCACTGGCAGGGGTCTGGGGTCAGCTCCCGCACCCCTCAGCCACCTGTGCCACCTGGTCTGGTGTCCACTACCGAACTTTTGATGGACGTCACTTCCACTTCCTGGGCCACTGCACCTACCTATTGGCAGGTGCAGCTGACTCCAGCTGGGCCGTCCACCTGTTGCCCAGGGGGCATTGCCCCCAGCCTGAGCGATGCCAGCTGGTAAGAGGAGGGTGGACAGTCATGGGGGCTGGGTGTGGGCCAGGACTGAACTGACCCCTCCTGCTCCTCTCCTGAGGTCCGAGTGATGATGGGACCAGAGGAAGCGCTGATCCAAGGTGGCAATGTCTCTGTGAACGGCGTGCCTGTTTCTAACGAGGAGCCCCAGCTACTCCATGGTGAGGGGCCTTGAGGATGAGGGCAGGCAGCTGGAGCAGAGGCTGCTGCCCTACTCGCCACTTCACTGGGCACTTACTTCTCTGCCTCACCTCTGAGTCTTTGTCCTCTGTGCATCATGAAGCTGTCTCAGCCTGGAGGGGTTCTGAGGAAGCACTTGATAATGGGTGTGAATTCATTAGGGTTTATGGGTGAGATAGTGAGGTGGGTGTGAACTGGCTAGGACCCACAGGTGAGATGCTGAGGTGGGTGGGATAGGAAGGCTGTGTGTCTTGTGGTAGTTAACTTGTACTTTATTCTCTCAAGAGCACTGTGAGCTTCTCTAAATGTGCTGGAGGTGGGGGTGGGGGACAGACATGAATGACTTCAAAGTGCTCACCTGGATTATGTAGTTTGTCTCCTCTCTCCTTGGCAGAGATAGGATGGGAGTGGCTCACTAGGTGTGGGTCTCCTCTCCATAGGGATGAGTCTGCAGTGGCAGGGGGACTGGCTGGTGCTGGAAGGAGGCCTGGGGGCCACCGTGAGGTTGGACAGGGCTGGCTCTGTGTCCATTTCTCTGGATCCTGGGCTCCAGGGGCAGACAAGAGGCCTGTGCGGACTCTACAACAACCGGCCAGAGGGTAAGTGGGGTGTGGGTGGGGCGGGTATAGAAGGTTGGGTAGATGGACCTCAAACTGACACCCTGCCTTGCACCCCCAGATGACTTTCTGGTGCCGGGTGGGGGACTGGCTGCATTGGCTGCCACCTTTGCGGATGCCTGGAGGCTCCCAGACTCTGAGGTGAAACTGAGCTTCATTCTCCCAGCCTTCACCCCAGCCTCTGTTCTGCTGGGTTCCTCTGGAGGAGAGGCAGGGTCCCCAGCAAGTGATACAGGTGGGGGGCGGGGGAGGGCTGCCCTAGGTGTTTAGCCTCTGGCCCAGGCTTATGGGTCAACTGCCCTGGTCCCTGGCCACTTTGTTGCCCTTCCTGCTTAAAGTGTCTGGGCCTTGAAGAGGACAAAAAAGCAGGTCATCTGCTTGGTGTCTCAGCTGTCTCTTCACCCTGTCCTTGGTGCCTGCCCACAACTCTCCCTAGCCCAGGTGCGCGGATGCCACAGATGCCACTCTGGGCTGTGGAGGCCCCTTGGAGGACTCAGAGGAGACGGCTCGGGTTCGAGCAGAGGCCCAGGATGTATGCCATCTGCTGCTAAGTAGCCCTTTTGAGGAATGCCATGTCCAGGTACAGGCATGCTGGCCAGGGGCAGTGGGGTAAAGGGCGCATCCTGCCAGTGCCAGGTGGTCCATGATCACTCCAGCCCCTTGAAAAGAATGATCAGACCTGGGACAGAGACTCATCACAGAGGGGACTAGAGGCCTGTGCCATCTTGCTTTGCCAGGTAGCTCCTACCGAGTACCATGAGGCTTGTCTTTACGCTTACTGTGGGGGAACGGCGGAAAGCAGGCAAGTGGGACAGCAGGAGTCCGTGTGCACCACACTGGCCAGCTATGCCCGGCACTGTGCCCAGCAAGGCATCTACGTCCACTGGAGGAGGCCTGGCCTCTGTGGTAAGGACTGACCTGGCCCACAGCTGCCACTCCTTGCAGGTCAGCCAGCAGCCCCCCAGGAGGAGGTGGAGCAGGGGGATTCAGAGGTGGGCAGAGGCAGCGACGGAAGAGGTAGGTGGTCTCACACGACCTCTCCTCTCCAGAGCATCGGTGCCCTGGGGGCCAGCTCTATTCAGACTGCATGTCCTCCTGCCCACCAAGCTGCTCCGCAGTGGGCGAGGGGAGAGAGGCGTCCTGCCGAGAGGAGTGTGTAAGCGGCTGCGAGTGCCCCCCTGGCCTATACTGGGACGGTGCCCTCTGTATGTCCGCTGCCCAGTGTCCGTGCTATCACCGGCGCCAGCGCTATGCACCCGGGGGCATCGTGTACCAGCAGTGCAACCCCTGGTGGGTGTCAGGCCTGGTCTGCCCGGACTGCGGGGTGGTGGGGTACGGACTTCCTCCTCAATCTGCGTCCTCACCTGGCTTTCCTCTTGAGCCCTGACCTCCTGGGGCATAAGTGATCATCTTCAGTTCTTCCAGTTCTTCTGGCAGGAGGACAGGGCAGAAGGTCCTGATGGAGCTGCGCAGGACTGATGGGATGGGGGACTGGACGAACTGATGGGGCGGGACCAGGGAGGGCTGTATGGGGCGGGGGGGGGGGGGGGAGACGAGGCTGAACCGAGGGGGTGGGCTGAGGAGGATGCGATTGAGGGGGACTGGACTAAGGGAGCTGGGCTGAGGAGGGCTGGACTGAAGGAGACATGGCTGAGAGTCGGGGCTGGTGTGACAGGGTCCCCCTCTGCCCTAGTGTATGTCAGGACGGCCGCTGGCACTGTGCCCAGGCCCCATGTCCTGCCAAGTGTGCCGTGGGTGCTGATGGACACTACCTCACTTTTGATGGGCGGAGATTTTCCTTTTGGGGCAGCGAAGGATGCCGCTACGTGCTGGTGCAGGTGGGCAGAGGGCACGTGCTCAGTTGGGCTGCCTGCAGAGCCAGCACACTCCACCTCAAGCCTCGCCACCACAACTCCCTCCTCACCCCGTCCCCCCACCCCTTCCCCCACATCCAGTCCGCCTGCATCCATAACACCCTTTCCTTCCACATCCCATCCTCCCACCACTCCCCCCAAACCCTGTTCTTTAACACTGTTTGCCTAGGATCACACGAAGGGGCAGCTGTTGGTGGAGCTGGGGCATGGGGCCTGTGAGTCTGGAAGCTGCCTCCATGCCATCTATGTCACCTTGGGGGGCACCTACGTCCAGCTGAAGGACTCAGGTAGCATCACTCTGTCTACCTCACATCCTTGGGATCCCTGCTGCTGGCCATTAGCCCTCAGGGACCTGGATCCAGGTAGCCTCTGACACTTCCTAATCCTCAATCCTGTCCCTGGCTACTGGTATCTCTAGGCTGAATCACCCACCCTTCCATCCCACCCCACGTTTGAGCAGACACACCTGGGGCAACCCTGCCCACTCTTTAGCAGAGGGTAAGGGGAAGATGGTCCCATCTGTTACCAAGATAGTACCCTCCAGATCAGCCGGTGTATCATAGAGTGGGCCTGTCTGATCAGGTCAGCCCAGAGCCTCTCCTCCTGGTCCTCTGTTCTTGGACTGAAGAAGACAGAGACAAATAGGTGTGGAGGTGGCAGTGGGGTCCTGGAGATTCAAGATGGATGACTTTGGGACCTCCTGTTCCAGGCACTGTCCTGGTAGATGGGCAAGAGGTGCCTGTGCCATGGCTTGGCTCTCAGAACCTCAGCGTCTCCCGAGCCTCGTCCAGCTTCTTGCTGCTGCGCTGGCCTGGGGCCCAGGTCCTCTGGGAGGTGTCCCACCCTTCGACCACCATCACCCTGGAGCCCCACTATGCTCACCAGGTATGCTGGCAGGGGTGGAACAGTGGCCAGCCTGGGACCAGTCTGATCACATTGCCCACTGGCAACAGGTGCATGGTCTGTGCGGCACTTTCACCTGGAACCAGCAGGATGATTTCCTGACCCCTGCTGGGGATGTGGAAACCAGCATTCAAGCCTTCACCAGCAAGTTCCAGGTGGCCAGCATGGGGAAGTGCACCCCGGGCAGCATGGTCCCCTTGCACCCCTGCAGCATCCACACCCAGCGCCGCCCCTTTGCAGAGGCAGCCTGTATGGTCCTGCAAGGCCAAGCCTTCCAGGTAGCAGGGTGGGGCGCCCACTACCCCATAGGGACCTTCCTGGCCCCACCCAGCTTCTCAGTAGAGACTAGAAGAGTGGACAGCCCAGGGAGAGGTAGAGGGAAGCCCAGAGGAGGAGCTGACCGGTAGTCTGGCCTCCAGGAGTGCCACCAGCTTGTGGAGAGGGAGCCATACTGGCTGCGCTGCCTAGCGACCATGTGTGGCTGTGATCTGGACAGAGACTGCCTGTGCCCCCTGCTCTCAGCCTATGCCCGCCACTGTGCCCAGGAGGGTGTGTCCCTGTCCTGGAGGAGCCAGGCCCTCTGCCGTGAGTGCCTCTCATGGGGCCTTAAAGGACCTCTGTCTATGTGAATGGGAGGCTGCCTTCCTTGGAGTGGGGGTTGGGAAGTCCCCAAGAGTGACAGAGATGGCTGTGCTAGGCCTTGACCAGCCCTGTCTCCTGCCCAGCTGTCACATGTCCTGGTGGCCAGGAGCACCAAGAGTGTGCCCCACCATGTGGCCGAAACTGCGGGGAGCCTGAGGACTGTGTGGGGCTGGGCGGCTGCGTGTCTGGGTGCACCTGTCCCCCAGGGCTACTGTGGGACCCTGCAGGCCAGTGTGTGCCCCCCAGCCAGTGTCCCTGCCAGCTAGGAGTCCTTCGTCATGCCCCTGGCAGCAGCACCACACAAGACTGCAATCACTGGTGAGGGTATCAGCCTCTGGGTGGAGGGAGGAAGCAGGGTGACGGAGGATTGCAAGAACAGCAGTGAGCTGGGGCTGAGGTGGACACCTGAGTCCCACCACGCTCACCACACTCGTCCTGAAATGTAGGGGGCAGGCTTCCAGGCACTGGTTCCAACAATGGGGTCCCACCAGTAAGGTCCCACCAGTGTTACTTGTGCTGTGATGGACCTGTGGTGGGTGAAGGCTAAGTGAACAACCTCTTGCTGGGCTGGGTGGAGAGTATGCACACCTTTGTCTGCCCACTCCTGGAGTTGGAGGATGGCCCTTTGGAGCCCACGAAGAAAGGGAACCTGTTAGGCCAGATCCCAGAGTATCTGGACACCCAGGCCCCTGACCCTCCTTCACAGCTGACCAGGCCGTGGCCTTGACTCCTCCCAACCCCACAGTATCTGCCAGGAAAGGGGCCTGTGGAAATGTACGTCCTACCACTGCCCCCACCAGAAGGCACTTTGCCCCCGGGGGCTCATCCACATCCCTGGTGCCTGCCTGCTCACCTGTGACAGCCCAAGTGCCAACCACAACTGCCCCATGGGCAATACTGAGGGCTGTGTCTGTCCACCTGGCACCTTGCTGCTGGTAAGGTTGGAGAGGGTGCGGGGGTGTGTGGGGGAGGTGCTTTGCATTCTGCCTGACAGCCCCTTTAGTGCTCCATCCCATCTCTGCCCAGGGTGAGCACTGTGTGGCCTCTGAGCAATGTCCCTGTCGCCACAGTGGGCAATGGTACCCACCAAATGCCACCATCCAGGAAGATTGCAATATCTGGTATGCTGTGCCCAGGCTCCTGGTGTTTCTCCCAACTTCACTTCTATCTGGACGGAGGCTGGAGCAGTGAGCGTGCTGCTTCTGGTGGGGGCTGTGGGAACTCCCAGAATTCTGGACACAGAGTCCTTCCTCAGACTGCCCCTCCTTTCCTCCCTGCAGCGTGTGCAAAGGCCAGAGGTGGCACTGCACGGAGCAGCAGTGTGGGGGGCACTGCCAAGCCTCAGGTGCTCCCCACTACGTAACATTTGACGGGCTGGCGTTCACCTTCCCTGGTGCCTGCGAGTACCTACTGGTGCGAGACACCAGCGGCCGGTTCTCAGTGTCCGTGCAGAATCTTCCCTGTGGGGACAGTGGCCTCACCTGCACCAAGACACTGAAGCTGCAGCTAGAGGGCACCATCATGCACCTGCTACGAGGTGGTCATGACTGGCTGGGGACAGGGCTGGGTGGGCACTCCCTGGCCTTGAGGACCCTAATTCTGAGACTCCAAGAAACTGAGTCCCCAAAGGATCCACGTACTTCTTGGGGCCCCACAGCTCTGGAAGGCACAGTGGAGGTTGGGGTCAGCCATGGAGGTCTAGGCAGTGCCCTTCAGGCTTCATATGTCTTACCTTCACAGGCCGGGCTGTGACGGTCAATGGGGTGCCCATCTCACTCCCCAAGGTCTACAAAGGCCCAGGGCTGAGCCTGCGCCATGCTGGCCTCTTCCTTGTGCTCAGGACTCGCCTGGGCTTCATTCTACTCTGGGATGGAGGTCAGAGCCCACCTCAACCCCATCTACCCTCATCCTGCCCCTCACCCTCACCCTGCTCCATCAACCCGCCTTCTGCCCTTTAGGTTAACCCTGTTCCTCACCCTTGACCTCATCCTAACTCTGCTTTTCATCCTCACCCTGCCCTTCATCCTCACCTTGCCCGTCACTCTCCCACTGCCCCAACACCCTGCCCCTCACCCTCACCATGTCCTAATACCTTGTCCTCAACGACTGGATCTGGCTGTTTCTCTCTTAATAGCCTTACTGCTGTGGTTGGGTTGCTAAGACCTGCCCAGACCCAGACCCTACCTCTTCCTCACCTCCCACCCGAGCTTGTTCCACTCTTCGATCATATATAATGTAGTTATTGTTAGACACTGTGGAGTCCAGTATGACTCAGTGATCCTATGAACCCTGCCCTGTACCATTCTCTTCTTCTGTGATAAACTTGAGTTCATTGCTGCAGTTGCTATGTTAATCAATTTCATTGAGGACCTTCCTCTCCTTCGTTGACCCTCTGCCTTTTCAAGCATGATGTCCCCTTCCAATGAACAGCCGCTCCTTGTTACATGTCCAAAAAGCACTTTGGCCATACTTTCTCCTAAACATGTGGCTTTTGTTGGTGGTAAGTACTATTGTGTAGGAACTGACCCATAGCTGACCCTCCTGCATGATTTCAGAGGCAGTTAATCACATGGGAGGAGATGCGCCCATCCTTCTCCCACAGAACAGGTGGTGAATTTGAACTGCATGCCTTTAGGATTGCAGGGCAGTTTCTTACTACTAGGCCATCGGAGCTTACAACATGTGGTAGGGTTCCTAAACTGTGTTTCTCTAATAGTAAATATTTTCCGTTGATGTGGAAACCATATTTCCTCATCAGAAAACACTTAGAAAATACCAGTTTGGAAAAAAAGTGAAAGAAATATAACATCACACCATCCAAACATAGCAGTTGACAGTTGGAAATAACTGACTGAAACTGGAGGAAAAATTTAACACCCAAGGACAGGTGGCTTGTCCTGAGACTTCAAGGCTGCTGGTGGCGATCTGGCTGCCTGACATCTAGAAGGAGACTTCTTCTTGTGTGCCTTTGGGTCAAAACCAACCCATAACTGAGCCTCCAGGGGGTTTTCAGAGGCAGGAAATCACACAAAAGGGGTTTGCCCAGCCTTCTGCAGAGCAGCTGGGGAATTTGAACCAAGTGCCTTTGGGGTTGTAGTGCAGATTCTTACCACTAGGCCACCAGGGTTCCCTATAGTGAGGAGAATAAGCACTGATTTCTCCTCAGACCCCCAAACACAAGTCCTTTTTCTTATCACCTTGATGTCCCAGAAAAGAAGGAGCTGGTGTCCACCATGGGGTCTGGCAGCAGAGAGGCCTGTCCCACTAGCAGAGGCCCAGGGTCTCTTCTCTAGCACCACCCTGTCGCCCTCTCCAGGCACCCGGGTGCTGGTGTACCTGCCTCCCCAGTTCCGAGGCCACGTGGAGGGGCTGTGCGGTGACTTCGATGGAAATGCCAGCAATGACCTGAGGAGCCGCCAGGGAGTCCTGGAGCCCACTGCAGAGCTGGCCGCCCATTCTTGGCGCCTCCAGCCACTCTGTCCAGAGCCTGGAGACCTGCCTCACCCTTGCACCGTGGGTTACCGTGGGTTCAGGCAGGGAGCCAGAAGCTGGCAGGACGCGGGCAGTGTCTGTCCCCAGAATCCTCAAGTGGCTGTGCCTCGCACCCTGCAGGTGAATGCCCACAGGGCGGCTTGGGCCCGGGCTCGCTGCAGCACCATGCTGCAGCCTCTCTTCGCCTCGTGCCACGTGGAGGTCCCTCCACAGACACACTACGAGCGGTGTGTGCACGACGCCTGCGGGTGAGGAGCCAAGGCCGAGAGCGGCTGAATCCTAGACGACCCTGGTGGGCATGGTCTAGGGACTGGAGAGCATCTAGAGGTGTGGGATGGGGCTGGAGCCCCTGTGTAGCAAACAGAGCCGCCTGAGGTAGTCCTTTCCCTCAGCTGTGATTCTGGGGGTGACTGTGAATGCCTCTGCTCCGCGATCGCGGCCTATGCGGACGAGTGTGCTCGCCACGGTCACCGCCTGCGCTGGCGCAGCCAGGAGCTCTGTCGTGAGTGTGTCCCTGGGCTCAGCTGCCCTCATGTCCCCGGCATGAGCTGAGTGCTGTCCACGCAGCTCGCACACAAAGCGACTGCCCTTGTGGAATCCGCACATTGCACATGTCATTATGGGATTCTTGGAGAGTCTGCACCCTGTGGCTTCCTCATATTCCAGGCCCTCTGTGACCCTAGCTTCTCCCCAGCTCTGCAGTGCGAAGGGGGCCAACATTATGACACCTGTGGTCCCACATGTCCCCCGACCTGCCGTGACCAGACACCTGAGCCCGGATGGCACTGCCAGGTGGCTGCCTGTGTGGAAGGCTGCTTCTGCCCTGAGGGGACTGTGCTGCATGGTGTGGAGATGCGGAGGGGCACAGGGTGTGGTGGGGTCCTGACCTAGAGGTTGGCCGTATGGAAGGAGCTGTGATTTACTGAGTCCTGCCCATGCTGACCACAGGCAGCACCTGCCTAGAGCCCACCTCTTGCCCCTGTGAGTGGGGGGGCAGCTTCTTCCCACCCGGGACTGTGCTGCAACAGGATTGTGGGAACTGGTGAGTCCTAACCTTAACCCTCCGGAGGACCTCTGTGCCCGTGGGCCAGCCTGGTGCTGACCCTGCTCACTGTGTACTCAGCTCATGCCAGGACAGCCAGTGGTCCTGCAAGAACAGTCGCTGTGAGGAGCAGACACCAGGCTGTGCCGAGGGAGAGACTACATGCCAGGGGAATGGACACTGTGTGCCCCTCGGATGGCTGTGTGACAACCAGGATGACTGTGGTGATGGCTCAGATGAGGAGGGTGAGTGATATGGAGCCTACACAAGAAGCTGAGTTTACTGCTCCGTCCCAGGAGTCATGATTTATGGAAATGAGGGAATGGAGTGAAGCTTAAGGGGTTCCCCTGCTGCCTATCTTGGAAGTCATGGTTTGTGGAGGTGGGGGGTGGGGTGAAGCATCAGGGGTTCCCTCTGCCACTCCATCTAAGGAGGGGACAGTCATGATTTGAGGAGGTGAAGGGATGGGTACGCATCTGACCTAAGCCAGGGTAGGGGTGTCTCTGTACCTTGTATGAACATCCTGAGTTCACTTGCCTGTCCCATGCCAGGCTGTGCCACCACAGACTGTGGGGAGGGCCAGTTCTCCTGTACTTCTGGCCAATGTCTGCCCATGGCCTTACACTGTGATGGGCAGGACGACTGTGCTGATGGGGCTGACGAGAAGGGCTGCCCTTGCCCCCACGAGTCTCTGGCCTGTGCGGACGGGCACTGCTTGCCCCTGCCACTGCTGTGTGATGGCCACCCAGACTGTCCAGATGCTGCAGATGAAGAGTCCTGCCTGGGTATGTGTTTCTGCTCTGACTCCAGGTCACTCACTGTGCTGGTCTCCCTTCTCTGTCAGCCCAACCCGTGCCCTGCATGAAGCTCCTCAATGGCGCCCACACTGCCTCTACCCTGCCTGCAGGGAGCACCAACTGCACCTTGGGAGAAGTGTCTTGTGGAGATGACAGCTGCATAGGTGCTTTCAAGCTGTGCGATGGGGTCTGGGACTGCCGTGACGGAGTGGACGAAGGGCCTGGACACTGCCCTCTCCCTGCTTTGCCCACACCCCCTCTTTACTCCTTGGAGATTGCACCAGCTCTTGCAGGCAGCCTTGGACCCAGTGAGTGCTCTGCAGGGCTGGAAGCTGGAGGGCTGGGAGCAAGAGGACCTGAGAGGGATCTGGAGGGTGCTTTTTGGGGTAGGTGCTCCAGTGGACACAGTGGGAGAACCAAGGAAGAGAGGGATCTAAAGCCATTGCAGTGTCCTGTGCCCTCATCTGTTGAGCTGGGATGGGGCTGTCAAGGCATCTGGGCAAAGAAGGAGCTGCTGAAAGACCAACAGGCAGCAAAGGACAGGAACAGTAGAGTTGGGAGGGATGACTGGTATGGAGACCTTCAGGATGTGGGAGATAGGGGTTCCCCATGAGGCCTACAGCTCCTGGGCAGACTCTGATCAGGGTCCCCACAGCGCTGGCCTGCAGTCCTACTGAGTTTGCTTGTGGAAGCAGCGAGTGTGTCCCTAGGGGCTGGCGCTGCGATCACGATGAGGATTGTGCAGATGGCAGCGATGAACACAACTGTGGTGAGCTCTAACTTCACTGCCCACGGAGCTGCCCTGCCCCCTTATAGCTCCGCCCCTTCCCAGCCCCGCCCCTTATAGCATAGTCCCCGCCCGCCAGTGCTGCCCTCCCCTCATAGCCTTGCCCACGTTGCTCCGCCCCCTTATGGCCAAGCACCCTAAACCCTCACACTGCCCACCTCCTTACACAGACAAGAAAGTGCATAGTAGCATGCAGCTGACCCCAGCTCTTCCTAGCCAGTCCCTGAGTTCCGTTTCTTCTGGGGTCTGTGGCCATGGCCCCTCTGTTTAGGCCTGCGTGCACCCTTGGGCCCCCCAAACTCCTTATATCAGCCCTCTACAACTTTGGGGCAAGAACACTCCAGGACACCTATTGCTGCCCTCAGAATCTACCCAGCTGCCCCTTTGTCCGGGCCTCTTCGCCTGTGGCTTGGACCCTGAACTGTGCCTGCCTCCAGACTGGCTTTGTGATGGAACACAAGACTGTCCCCGGGGTGAAGATGAGCTGGACTGCGGTAAGTCCATTCCTTGTGGAGGCTGAGTTGGGAAGGGGTTTTCAATGCCTCTTACTCCCCGCTTGACTGCATCTTCTCTCTTCCCCAGAGGAGTTGCCACTTCTCGGGATCCCCAACAGGACCAGGGAACCCTGCCCGGAGTACTCCTGCCCTGATGGCACCTGCATCAGGTTCCAGCTGGTGAGGTGACAGTAGTGGGAGCAGTGGCCTGGGTGCAGACTGCCTGAAGGATGTTGACATCTTCCCTCTCCCAGGTGTGTGATGGGCGTCCGGACTGTGAATTAGTAGCGGGCTCAGGACCCTCCCCAGAAGAGCAGGGCTGTGGGACCTGGGGCCCCTGGAGCCCATGGTCACTGTGCAGCCAGACGTGTGGGCCAGGGGTGCAGGACCGGAGTCGTCGCTGTGTTCCTACCAGCTCCCTGGTGCTGCAGCACTGCTTAGGCCCTGAACACCAGTCTCAGGTCTGCTTCTCTGTGGCCTGCCCAGGTAAGGGGCTTTCAGGCACCAGGTGAGATGGGAAGCTCAGAGTGGGGCCTGGAGGGAGAGGTCTGGGAGAGAAGGACTGGAGGAGGGTCCTGGAGAGGGGCGTCAGGAGGACGGGGACTTGGAGAGTTACCTTGAAGGGAAGGGCAGAAAGGCCAAAGACCTACAGCCCTGCTGCCTTCCTGCTTCCTTGCAGTGGATGGGGCGTGGAGCCCCTGGTCAGCCTGGTCTCCCTGCCTGCAGCCCTGTAGGGGCACCACGACTCGGCAGCGAAGTTGCCACCCACCCCAGAATGGGGGCAGAAGCTGCACCATGATGCCTGGGGAACCTCATAGCACCCACCAGACCAGTGAGTGACAGAGTAGGGCAGAGAGTGTCTGTGCAGGGTGCAGAAGATCACAGGTAGTGTGTGTGTGCATACATGCTTGTGTGTATCTGTAGGTACATGTATATATGTACATGTGTGAGTGTGGATATTTATATGTGTATGCATGTGTGTCTATGTAGTGCATGTGTTTGTGCATGTATGTGTATATATGCAGGTGTTTATGTGTATATGTGTATTCATGGCAGATACCTTTTTAAAAAACATAAATGGTGACTATACACATGGACCTCCCCTGAGGTACTGCACTCAGATTGACTACATCTGTGGAAAAAATTGTTGCAGAAGCTTAGTATCAACAGTCAAAACCAGGCCAGGTGCTGACTACGGAACAGATCATCAATTACTCACGTGCAAGTTCAAATTGAAGCTGAAGAAATTGAAGACAAGTCCACAAGAACCAAAACATGACTTTGAGTCTATTCTACCTGAATTTAAAAATCATTTCAAGAATAAATTTGAGTCACTGGACACTAATTACCAAAGAATAGTTGAATTGTGGGATGATACCAAAAATATCATCCTTGACGAAAGCAAAGGGTCATTACAAAGAGAAAGAAAATACAAAAATAGATATCAGAAGATAACTTTGAAAATTGCACTGGAGTGCCTGGAAGCTAAAAAAAGATTAGAAATGTTGAGATAAGAAATGAACAGAAAAATTAAAGGGTGGGGGGAAGAAATGAACAGAAGATTTCAGAGGGCATCTCAAAAAGACAAAACTCCAGTGAACTGGAGTTAGAAAAGAAAAAGGGAAGAACTTGCTTGACAGTTCTCAAGCTAAAATAACTGAAAGAAAATTCAAGCTTCGAGTTACAGAAGAATGCTATGGGCAAAATCCTGAATGATCCTGGAAGCATCAAAAGAAGATAGAGGAAATGCAAAGAGTTGCTCTACCAAAAAGAATTTCAGAAAGAGCTAATGATAATGAAGAAAGAAGTTCAAGCTGCTCTGAAGGCATTAGCAAAAACATAAGCCACCAGGAATTGATGGGATTTCACTTGACATATTTTGACAGATATTGTAGTCCTAAATGTGCTCACCAGTTTGTGCCAGGAAATTCAGGAGATAGTCACCTGGCCAACTGACTTGGAAGAGGTGCATTTTGCCCCATCCCCAAGGAAGGTAATCCAACACAATGTGGAAATTATCATACAATGTAATTGGAAAGCAGAGAATACCAGAAGAATGTCTGTCTGTGTTTCATTGATTATGCAAAGGCATTTGACTGCGTGGATCATAACAAA